CTTGAGGGGGGCCTTGAGGGGGAGTCGGTTTTTGTTTGTGGTTTTTTTGGAACTGGAGTATGGAATTCGATCCTACGGTGAATCATTCATATGCGGTGGGTCGACGGGATTACAGTCAGAAGGTGGCGTACTTTTACGACCCGGACATTGGTAGTTATTACTATGGTCCCGGACATCCGATGAAGCCGCAGAGGATTCGGATGGCGCATTCGTTGATTTTGTCATATGGATTGTATAAGCACATGGACGTATTTCGGCCACATGATGCGGGACACGTGGAGTTGGCTCAGTTCCACGACAGTGAGTATGTGAATTTCTTATCGGAGATAACGGTGGACAACTTCAAGATGTATGGTGGGCGTTTGAACCGATTCAATTTGAGTCAGACGGATGATTGTCCAGTATTTGACGGGTTATTCGAGTTTCAATCAAGTTGTGCGGGAGCGACGATCGACAGCGCAATGCAGCTTAATCATCGTAATTGTGACATCGCGGTGAATTGGAGCGGCGGATTGCACCACGCAAAACGGTCGGAGGCGGCGGGTTTCTGTTATGTGAACGATATTGTGCTAGGCATATTGGAGTTACTAAAGTACCACGCTCGAGTAATGTACATCGACATAGACGTACACCATGGCGATGGCGTCGAGGAAGCCTTCTACCTCTCCCACCGCGTCATGACCGTCTCCTTCCACAAATACGGCGAGTTCTTCCCTGGCACCGGCGACGTTGTAGATGTTGGAGCCGGCGCCGGCCGCTATTACGCCGTCAACGTTCCGCTCGATGACGGCATCACAGACGAAATGTACGTCACACTTTATAAACAAATCATACAACGATGTGTAGACGTCTACCGCCCTGAAGCCATTGTCCTCCAATGCGGCGCTGATAGCATCACGGGCGACCGCCTGGGCAATTTCAACATGACCACCAAGGGACATGGAGCCTGCGTACAATGGACCAAAAGCCTAGGTATACCCTTGATTATCCTCGGAGGTGGTGGCTACACAATACGGAATGTCGCCCGTGCCTGGGTTTACGAAACCGCTGTCGCACTTGGCAAACATGAAGATATCGATAACCGAGTCCCCGTCAACGTAAACCACACACACACTTTTTTACACACACACTTCTCTGGACAAAGTGTGTGCACACACTTTGTGCACTGCACACACTTTGCCGTGGTAGGAGTATTACGAGTATTTCGGACCGCACTATAACCTACATTTGGAGCCGGACCCCACTTCGGGGAACAAGAACAGCGAGGCGTATGTACAGCAAATCAAGACGAAGATTTTCAAGCACCTGGCGCAGCTGGAGCACGCTCCGAGTGTCCAATTCTCACGTGTGCCTGCAGACTTCTTCACACCCGCTGTGGCCCCCGAAGAGGACGAAGATGAAATTGACCAGTACACGGTGGAGTGGGAAGGCGGAGGATTGGCGGACATCTACGAAATGATGATTCCACATAGACTCCGCCGAGCCAACGTCGATGACTACGACGATCGCGACCAATCCATGAAACATCTCGAAATCGCTAAAGGACACACCGACCTTATTGTTAACGGCGACTGACCAAGTACACTGGACCAAGTACACTGGACCAAGTACACTGGACCAAGTACACTAGACCAAGCGAAACATGACATCCTGGATCTGGACGATATCTTGACTCCGGGTCAGGACCAGAGTTATTCTGGACAGCCGTCCAGAGCTAGCTCTGCATGAGCTGGCTGTGTGGGGGATACTCACCACGTTGACGTTGCGACTGTTGGCCTGGCACTGGGAGAGAGCGGGAACGCTATCGTCAACTCACAGCGAGGGGATTCATAAAAAGCGAAGAACCTACGAACGGGCGGAGAACAACAAACGGGCGGAGAACAACAAACGGGCGGAGGACCAACGAAGTGGGCGGAGGACCAACGAAGTGGGCTAGAGTATCAACGGGGCAGAGGGGTGGCTTGCTCAGGTGAGTGGAAGTTGTCTGGAATCGTTCCAGCCACCCGGTCAGTCAGATACCCAGTCAGCCAGCACGGTCCTTAGCGGTGGAAACCTCAGTGGTGGAAACCTCAGCGGTGGAAACTAGACATAAAGGTTCAAACGCCACGAAAAAATACAGAGTAGATAGTTAGCAGCCGGGCAAGGTCTTGACCGGCCAGCTGTGCGGGGTCTTGACCGGCCAGCTGTGCGGGGGTCTTGACCGGCCAGCTGTGCGGGGGTCTTGACCGCCAGCTGTGCGGGGGTCTTGACCGGCCAGCTGCGCGGGGGTTTGACCAACCGGGGAACTCTGTGCGGGTGAGAGGCTCTGGTGAGGGGCTGGTTCGCATCCCACAAGAAATTCTTCGTTCGGGAGTCGGGATTTCTAACCTGCCTGGTTGGGCAAGCCGGAGCTAGTGAGCGAGACGACACAAGTTAGTAGCGCTGGCTGTCTTGTACTTCTTCTTCTTCTTCCTCATCTTCGTCTTCGTCGTCATCTTCTTCAGCGGGTTTCTTCTTTTTTTTGCTAGAAGCTGTGCTGGGTGTAGAGAGAGAGGTGGCGACTGCAGTTTCACTACAGACTCCGCCACTGGCAATAATGACATTGCCGAGGAAGTCGTTGAGTTCCTCATCGGTACGTACGGCCAGTTGAATGAAGCGAGGCGTGATGCGCAACTTGCCTTGCTCATTCGCCATTGTTCCCGCCAGATGTAACACCTCCGTCGTCAGGTACTCCAATACTGCCGCCATGAAGATGGGCGCAGCCGCACCAATCCGCTTCGCATACCGCCCGTTCCGCAGATGCCGTGCAATACGACCCACCGGAAAGATCAAACCCGCCTTCTGCGACCGAGTTTTACTCGCCGCCTTCGCGGTCGTCTTGCCACTCATCAAAAAGAAAAAAATTACATTCACTCCCAGACCCCTCTTCCTTCCATTCAAATACTCTTAGGAGGAAACTTTTTACTGTAGCCTGGGGCCTTTGGCCGTGATCCACGAAAAAGGACACAGCTCTACTTCCAGCCCGTTCGATTTAGCCCTCGGCTGCACTTGCCAGCATCTGCTGTCCAGCAACACCCACGGGCGTAGATGAACCCCAATGCAACACCCACAGACCACTGCATTGTTTCGGGCGGCTGTCTCGTCAGCACACACACACGCGCGAGTGTGTGTCAGGCAGAAACGCGTGTGTGCGTCACACGCGAGTGTGCGTCACCTGCACACTGCGTCCGCATGCCTGCTCACTTCCGCATGCGTGCTCGCGTCCGTGCTGTCGTGTGCGCCCGCTTTCGTGCTGGCGTGTGTGCCCGCTTTCGTGCTGGCGTGTGTGCCCGCTTTCGTGCTGGCGTGTGTGCCGCTCAGCGCAAGTCAAGTCCGCTGTTGGGGAATTGCTAGCGCGTAATTTTCCGTTGGGTGAAAAGATAGAGACATGGTCGGTTGGTTGAACTTTGCTTTGTTGTCGGTGGTCTTTGGTCAATTGCTATTGGATAAGTTGCCGCGGACGAAGTGGTACATGTTGTACGTGGATGAACCAGTTGGTTGTTCTGAGTGTGCGGATTATGGGACTTTGAGTAAAGCGCGGTCGTGCGTGGATCAGGCTCCGTGTAATGCTACTGCGTCGCTGATGGTACAAGTACCTCGGCATGATACATGTACCCCTGACCAGTGGTGGATTAAGCCGACTGGCATTGATTTCAGCATGCCAGTCACTGATCGACAATATCACCTAAGTAGTGTTGAGTTGCTGGTAAATACCTACAAAGCACAGGCAGGAAGCAGTTACGAAGCATGCCAGCCGGGACTGCAAATGTTTGCCAAAGAAAAGGGCCTGGTCACAGATAACATAACAGGGGAAATCGAAGGTTCGGTCTGCGGATCACGGCTCTACTTCGCCCGCCCTCTCAACACCGGAGTGGTGGTGAACAAGACTGATGCCTTAATCCAATTTACTTTAGACAAAAAATCAAATCTCTCACTGGCCAACGGCTACTGGATCAAAAGCACGTCATACAATAACTGCATCGGGCTGGACTGGCATACACTACAACTTACCGCAACGTATACAAATACTATTGGCAAAACCAATTGGGGTGACAACAATGAAAGCTAGTCAGTAAGTTCTCAACTACGCTAGTCAGTGCGAAACATCGGGGAGTTGCCTTGCGGCGTAAGCCAATTAACCAACCAACTGGGCGGCCTAAACTTTACAAACAAAGTATGGGCAGGGTATTTGGGTATGGGAAAAAGATACAAACTTATTTGGGAACCTTTTTTACTTTGTAACACGATCCACTCACTTGGTCCACTCACTCACTTGCAACGTGCCACTCACTCACTTGCAACGCACCACTAATGAGAGGATGTGTGGTCGAACTTGTTTTAAAAATGTTCCTTTCACAAGGAGGCTTAACTTAAAATTCCCATTAGAGAAAAGTGTGTCCAGAAAATAGATGCGTCCAAATTACTATACAAAATCTAATATCTATTTTTTGTCGTCAGCGCCAGATTCTTCAAGTATCATATCCAGTGGGCACTTGCTAAGGGTATCAGGAGCTAGGGCTTGAAGGTAGCAGCTCATACTATGTTGTCTAAAGGCGCTTATACTCCAAATAGGTTGAAGGGCTTGTTGATTGAAGGTATGTCTGTCTAATTTGAACATGTAGCATTGACCCTTAAGTACTTTTTTAATCTTGGGAAGATCTCTCTCTTGTTCAACGAATTGTATGCGAGGAACACATAAGAAAATTTCACCAGGTGGTACTAGAAATCTAAGACTTGATGAGCATCGTAGTTGTTTGATCTCCTTCATACAAAGGTCGAGTAATTGATTTTGTTGTTCAGTAGTTGCACTAATTTTTTTGGTGGTTGGTCTACATCCTCCATACCAGAATTTTAGAATTTTCCATCCTAATCTTTTCCACCAGCTGGGTTTGCCTGATGGATTCTTCAATAACTTCTTTCTCCTGGCATCTAGTTGCTTAACTCGCTTCTTTAAAATCGTGTGTATCTGATTGAAGCTTGCTCCACCGAATGTTACTTTAGCCCTTGCCAATTGTGCGGCTAAGGCCTTATTTTGTTGTAGCCTTTCCGCCTCACTGAGACCGGAGAAGTTAACATCGGTAAGAATGACGTTTCGAATACTTTCGTACGACTCTAGCTGATCTAATCGTTCGGGTAGTTTTTTCCATTCCTCATCTTCGCTGCTTGAATCTTCGGCCAATTTCTTCAACAATCTGCCAGGTGTTTTTCTTCCCATTGGCTTCTTTCCTTTTCTACTAGAAGACGCAGCTGTAGACGTATCCGACACCGCATCATAGTCGGGAGTTCCTGTCTCCACCACAACAACTCCGTCTCCGGCCATATTAATGATGGCTGAACCCGCTGACGAAACCGCTCCACTACCTTCTACTTCTAGATCAGCCAAGGCCTTCATTTGGACCAACAAATCTCGGAAGGAGCCAAACGATAGTCGGGGCACGATGTCCTTACCGAATATAATTGTCTTTATTCTGTCAGTACTTACGTAGGAATCATGTTCATTCAAAATGGCAGGACATGCTATTGCCACACACTGTATCCTTGCGGCAAACTGTGGTAATTCCTTTAACCATTTAATCGTCAGAAGCGCAGCAGACCCAGCACCCAATGAATGTCCAGTAAGTATAATTTTGGCCTTCGGATGCTTCTCAATAAATGCCAACAAATGCTTACGGATACGCTTATCCAACCAATCTGCCGATAGAGCCATGCCTCTATGAGGACCCAAATCCCCGTCTAATGGATCGCACATCAAATTGGTGGCAAAATCCTCCACAGCACTAGAACCTCTTACTACAATAAAATATGCCTTTCCATCACTGCATACGGCAAATACAGGTTGACAAACACCCTCGTTCTCGTTAGTCAGTAGTATCTCCATACCCGACACAACTTTAGTAAGACGATACTTTATATTTCCCAATTTCTTCTGTTCGCTACGACCTGCACTATTCACGCTCTTCAAATTATGGGTTTGCACACTCTTCAATGAATACACCGCAGAAGACAGCAAGGCGCATGTACGGAATAGGGCAACTCTATCAGCATCATCCGCTGGCACCAATGGCAGGCTAGACACATCTGATGGCAAATATGGATCCTGAACTACACGCTGCAATTGACTCAACAATTTAAATGATCGATACGCCGAACGAGTTGTCATCATAGACAAACGTACCAATAAAGGTCGAACTGTACTATACGCATCAGCAAACTTTGGCGCTACAGGACCAATGTATCTTACCCCCATCTTTCCAATCTTATCTGCTCGCTCCTGAGCTTTAATCACCAACTTAGGATCCGCATCGTTTATAGCGATCGGCTCCAAAGTGTTCAAATCTTCCACGTAACTCAAACTCATACTGGACTCGTCTGATTCAGTAAGTAACAACCCTCTAGTACCTCTCGTAGATGTACCTCTAGTACCTCTGGTAGATGTACCTCTAGTACCTCTGGTAGATGTATGGCGAGAAAATCACACCAATAAGTCAAGTGTAACTGGCTAGGAAAATGTCGTCAACAGCAGCCACTAGCAAGTGTCAAGCAAGAGACAAATAAAAGCCAAGTAGATGCTAATAAAGGACTTATACCGAAAGGGATCCAATGAGCTGTGCTTGGTATAATTTTTTTTCAGAATGTATGAAATATCTGTTTGCTCCAGGTATAATTAATGATGTATTGCACGGAACGAAACATGAAGCCAACAGATCGCAGTCGAATAGAACGCAGTCGAATAGAACGCAGTCGAACAGAGCGCAGTCGAACAGATCGCAGTCGAACAGATCGCAGCCGAGTGGGACAAAGCTCGGTGGGGCAAGTTTGGGCACCGGGACAAGTTCGGGCACCGGGACAAGTTCGGGTACCGGGACAAGTTCGGGTACCGGGACAACTTCGGTCAGAGCAAACGCGTGTGGAGCAAGAAAGGATAAGTCGAAAGAAGCCAGCACGAAGACGGTCAGCGCAAGAAGCAATCCGGTGCATTTGCGGGCCGATGATACCCAACGCGTCAATGATGGTCAAGGTGCAGGATACACCCTTGATAACGAGGCTGAACTACAACACACTTTTGAAGGCTTCAAACGGCCTCAAAAGCGGAAGCCACCTGGAGCTGGCAAAAGCGCCAAGTGCGCTACTCAGCAGATCCAGAGTCTTGGTCAACTCCCTCCCGCGACCCAAAGACGAGAAGCTCAGAAACACCAAGTACCTCGCGAGCATCTAGACCCTAGCGAGCATCTAGACCCTAGCGAGCATCTAGACCCTAACGAGCATCTAGACCCTAGCGAGCATCCAGACCCTAGAATTAGCCTTATAGCTAGCCCCCCAATTCACCCTCACTCCAACCCGAGTGACACCGACTCCAGCCATCACATTCCTCCCAATCACACCGTCCCAATGGAGAGCAAGAACGCTAATTGCGGCCGAATGGATCATAGCGCGGACGACAAGGACAATAGCACGAACCACCAGGGTCGTATACAACGATCATCTCGTCTGGCCACGGCTTCTGAATCCCGTCATAGTAAACCGGTATTTCACGACTTGGATGAGATGCGGCAGGCCCCTGGTCTTTTGACTATTGCGAATCTCCTGTGCGATCAACCAAGACGTTCCGGTAAACGAAAACATGAGGCTTCCGAGACCGGAAGTTCGCGATTAAAAACCGACCAGGATCTAGTCCCCGAGAGGGCTGACAACTCCAGCTCAGAACTCGGGTCGGACAACGAACTCGAACCCGGGTTTGACCGCAATTCGGAACACATACCCGGCCATCTATCAGGACACGGATCATCAATCAACAATTCAATGAGGCCGAAAGAGCCAGCATCATCCGCAGGCAGATCTCCATTACGCTCACCTCCTCGCATTTGCCGCGAGATCGCCATGGCTACTACCAAGCAACAGAAACGGAAGCCGAAAGCCAGGGGACGCGAAACGTGTGCGAAAATTCATCCTCCCTCAGTGCGCGGTCAAACCCGAGCTCAAGCGGAAAGCGATGATCAAGCAAAAGGCATTGACCCAGTGAGCACAGTAACACACCGTCGTATGTTGCCTACATCTGATGCATCTATTAGCGATTCCGGGATAAAGAAAAGGCGAGGCAGGGAAGAGCACAACTCTCCCGTGATAATGATATCCTGCTCGCCGGTATCTACCGACTCACCAGACTACGAGAATGTTCCATTTAGTGACATCAACACAAATGACGTCAACACAATTGACGTCAACACAAATGACGACAAATCTAATGATGACACATCTGGTAGCTTTCCGTTCCCAAGCTCTGGCCGTGTGTGGGCTGAGCGCGTAGTTCTGTGTAAATCTGAAAGTTGCCGTTTTCGGTCTGATACAGCGGATCGAAGTTTGCCCGCGACTGAGGACGACGATACGGGGTTGAGGGAAGGACTTGTTAATAGTACACTTCCCGGTAATGTACCATTGGGTAATGTACCATTGGGTAATGTACCATTGGGTAATGTACCATTGGGTAATGTACCATTGGGTAATGTACCATTGAGTAGCGTATTATTGGGCCATGCAGATGAGGGCGTGGTGGACGTAGGAGATGTGGCTTGGACGGCACCTGAGGAGGCACGTTTAGAGGAATTGGTGGCGAAGTACGGTCAGGCGGACTGGGGTGCTATTGCTGAGAAGTTGGGGAGTAGAACGCCTGATAGTTGCGCGGCGAAATTTGCCGACTTACTGACGGAGAGATATACGGAGTCCTGTCGCAAGAGCAAGATCAGGACGAAGAATAAGAATGGGGCGAAACTGCCGGTTGCTGAGGCCGAGAGCTTTGGCAAGCGAGACCCTTACCGAAAGTGGCGCATGACAAGGCTCCTTTCAGAGAGAACTTTTGTACAGGAAGTCAACCTGAAAGCAACTCTGCTCACACCTCCAGCGCCATCCAAGACGGAAAACTGGCAGGAAGCGGGCAGTGATGCGCGCCCTTTTAGCAACCAAGGCAACGCCGACTCCGGTGTCCCGTTAGAGGGCGCCCCGTTAGGGGGCGCCCCGTTAGAGGGTGTCAAGTCAGATGACGTCAAGTTAGATGACGTCAAGTTAGATGACGTCAAGTTAGATGAAATCAATCTTCAACAGGCACTGGATCCAACGAGCAAGGGAATAGATCTACCTGTCGACAGCCTCCACGCGGTACGTACAGTAGAACGCCAAGAGCCATCATGTAGGGTCAAGCGCTACTCGTTCTTCGACGATACGTTCGGCGCAGATCTTGGCGAAAACCAGTCATCTGCGTCCAACCCAGACCGGTCTCTGCTCCGTCAGGTCTTGCCCGACTGGGCCGGCGATGCTACAACGTCCAGTCTCGATAACATGAGGTTCTTTAGTAAACATGCTATTCGACCCAAGTGTTCAAAACAACCGAGCCACCCAGCAAGCCAGCAAAAGAAAGATCAACCCGCGAGTCAAACGCGCATCCAACCGCAGGCGCGAATCAATGACCTTGTGTTGGTGGCAGCAAGCAACTCGGATGCGAAGGCAGCGACAACGATTTCGAAAACCGCTTTGCAAGAAGAGTTGGCCACCGTACTCCCGCATGAGGAAGAATACCAGTTCATTACAACGGAGCTGGAGGCGCTCGATGACGAGAATATGAAGGTTGTCAACTGACCGTGCTTGCAAATGAATTGCAGCGCGCCAGTAATTAATGCGCGGCAACTAACACTCGCGTGCACACACGTGTCCAATGACCATAATGGAATTACAATAATGCAATAACAATGTATGTCTGTAACTTTTGACTGATGAGGGGCGTTGTTCGGAGAGAGGTGCGCCATGAGCACGAAAGGATGGTGTTCTTGTGGTGGTGTACCTCTGCAAACATTATTTGGCGGAAGCGCTGCCGACATCGATGACAATGACACAGATACCGTCAACAACTCTTCAGATGCGTCCGGCTACGATCCAATCAAGTTTGAGCGGCGATCAGAAGAGGCGATTGCTAAGATGATTAATAATTGGAACTCGATGCTCAAACCGCGGATATCGGATTTGTGGCCGACCATGGGAGAAAATCCGGACCTGCGGGACGTCCTCAGACAGTTGTTGACTAACACTGATTCTCGAGACAACCCTTTGGCGGTGGAGCCATACTGCGTCCTCTGGTACGGTGACGTTGGCATCGAGGACGGCGCGGCGGTCCTGCGTGTGAAGGAAGGCGGAGAGACGCGACTGAGTTACGTCACTCGCATTCTCGCCTACATCTTTGCCAGCAACGAAACGTTCGAGTTGCTACTCAAGAGCGACACCCAAGGAGGACCTCTCCCTATGAGCTGCGACAATGTTCGCTGCGTCAACCTAAGCCACTGCCTCATACCGCAGTAACCGTCGCTTTTTATGTCACTTTCAGCTGGTATCCTTCAACCGGTCGGCTTCAACCGGTCGGCTCCAACCAGTTGACTCTAACCAGTTGGCTTCAACCAGTTGGCTTCAACGAGTTGGCTCTAACTAGTTGGCTTTTACACGTTGTAAAAAATAATGGTTAAGAAGAACCTCAGTAAGAGGGCCCTGCAGGTAGATCCTGCGTTCAGTTCGACCCTGCACTCAGTCCGGCCCTGCAGATCGGTCCTACACTGCCTGGTCCTGCACTCAGTCGACCCCCTAATTCCCTGGTTCTGCAAACCGGTCAGTTCCTTCAATTTGACGACGCGCAACTTTTGGTAGTCGTCTTCCTGCATGGCCTGGGCAGCGATGGTAATGACATGAAGCAGTTGCTGACTACGGTCTTACTGAAGAAGCCGGATCTGCATGATCAAACGGTGGTCCTCTGCCCGAACGCGGGACTGAGGCCTATATCGTGGGTGAATGGGCAAGCCATGACCGCTTGGGGCGACATATTTACCTTGGGCCCCGAAGGAAAGGACGACTGGGAAGGGTTTGAAGAGAGCCGCAAAATGGTGGAAGGCCTGATCGATCAAACACTCAAAGAGAACCCAACCATTAGCAATATTGTCATTGGAGGCTTCTCCCAAGGCGGAGCACTGAGTTACCACATTGCGCTACAATCCACTCGGAAACTAGCGGGCCTCATCGTCATGAGCGGCTGGGTACCTGCAAGGATGACGCCGCTCGGCGCAAACGTCACAGACATTGCCAGGTCCACCAAAATCCTCCACTGTCATGGCAAGAGTAACCTCCACGATAACACTAGATCGGCAAAACACGTGCCGAACAAAACAGGTGTGTCCCAAACAAACACACACGGTGGTTGCGAATTATGTGTCTGTAGCTGACTTTGTGGTACGATGGAGTCCGTTGAATGGCCAGATGCTGGACCAAATGGGGGTGAAGAATTACGACATCAAGCTGTACGAAAATTGCGCCCACGAAGTCTGCACCGAAGAGATTGCGGATATTATGCAGTTCCTAACCGCGAATTTATAGGAGTTGCAAGGCTCGGGCAAGAGCCCGGTATATTGAGAGTGTGCACAGAACAATAAATTGTGCATGATGAACGGAAATTGTCCTTTCTTTGAACGATGTTTTTTTCGCCCGGTGGGTCCACTATGCGTCTGTCCGATGGGTCCACTATGCGTCTGTCCGATGGGTCCACTATGCGTCTGTCCGATGGGTCCACTATGCGTCTGTCCGATGGGTCCACTATGCGTCTGTCCGATGGGTCCACTATGCGTCTGTCCGATGGGTCCACTGTGCGTTAGTACGGTAGTGCACTGTGCTCACTGTCCTCATTCAAGGTTCTAGTATTTTGCTGTCGAAGTTGCCTCGGGCGACGCAGGATGCGAAGGAGGCGGCTCCGGCTTGTTGGAGACGTGTCCATGGGTCGTGTCCGAGGGTGGGGTCTGCTTCGAGTTCCTGTGCTAGTTGGGTTAAGGGATCTAGTTCGTAGGTGCGTGGTGGTAGTCGGTTGTCCAGACGGACGCTACGTGCGATTGCGAGTGGGCGTCGGCAGGCTTGTGCGACCAGTATTTTGAGTTGGCTAAATCTCAGCTGCGCCCGTGCAACCACCAGTGGTCGTTCCGCCACGTCCTGTTTGCTCACGAAGTGGTACAGTCCCAACCGGTCGTGTTTGTTCTTCACCAGCACACACACCGTACACCCCTTACGCAAGGCGATCGTCCGCACCGTATCCCACCCGGGATCCTCCGACTCGTCCCACACCACCCGCTGCACCTCTTCCTCGACGGCAGGGCAAGACTGAGCTGTGCTTTTTCCACCTATCTCGATCTTCAAAATACCACTCTCTCCACTCGACACCAAATCCTGAAATTGACCCGGCGGAAGCACACCCTCTAACGCTACACGCGGCACTTGGGGGTGCATGTACTCACGCGACACCGCCCGAACCTCCTCCCACAAACTTGATCTCTGCGTCCGGAAATCGTTGTCCACAATTATCCACGTCCCAAACAATGAATAGATCCATTTTAACACCATCTTCATTGAATAGGTCAGACCCTCATCCCGATAGGATAAACTAAAGACCAGCACCGTAACCGGGCACACCGTTAAGGGGGTACAGCGTAAAGGGGGTACAGCGTTAAGGGGGTACAGCGTAAAGGGGGTACAGCGTTAAGGGGGTACAGCGTAAAGGGGGTACAGCGTTAAGGGGGTACAGCGTTAAGGGGGTACAGCGTAAAGGGGGTACAGCGTAAAGGGGGTACAGCGTTAAGGGGGTAGAGCGCCAAGGGGGTAGAGCGTCGAGGGGGTAGAGCGTCAAGGGGGTACAGCGTCAAGGGGGTAGAGCGTTAACGGGTTACAAGTTACTTACATGACTTTCCCGGTATCAGTGAGCTCCACCGAAATCGCTTTGTCAGCCTCCGTGCCTGCAGTTACCAGCACGCTTTCTGTAATGAGTGAATAAGACGGGATACGAGGCCTGGACCGGGATACGATCGAGAGGGCGGGGGGGCGTACCATTATCCTGCGTTACCTGCAAATAAGTCAGCCTGTCCCCAGTTATTCGATCTGCTACGTGCCTATCCACAAGCAAAACGTGTGGCGCAACCCACGGCTGAGAAATTCGAAGGAAATCAGTCGTCATAAAAATGGCCAGCGTGTTCTGGGCAGGCGTCAAGAACAACGGGAATGCCTATTGTACTCATCCTTCCCCCACACCCGAGATTGAACACCGCAAGCCACGATCGCTCAGCTACAGATCATGTCCGTGGTCCACTCCCGTGTTTCATATTGCTGTCTCACATGGTGGTCTCTCACCATAGTCTCACATGGTTATCTCTCACTTGAGTTTCGTGGGAAATGGGTTGTTGGCGTAGCTTTGTACAGAGACCATTCTGAGCAGCTGGCCGTAGATAGTTTGGTGTTCAGTTTTGTGGCGACGTCGGCAGTGGTTCCGGGTGTGTTATTGTGTCCGAGTTTGAAGCGGGCGTTGTTGAATGTGGTGTTGTTGATTGTGCACTTGAGGTTACTGAAAGCTGCTCCACCTGCAGTGGGAAGGTTGCAGGGTGGGAGTCGTCCTGCTAGTCGGCAGTTGACGCCTCGAAGTCGGATGGCTGAGATGTATTTGATGGTTGGGATCGGGTTGGTATCGGTTACACACGTGTGTGTGTTGCACATGGTGTTGGGCAATTCAAGTTTCTGGCTGGTACGGGCGTTGGGCAAGCTGTTGACGCTGTCCTACCTGTCGGCCTTGGCGGTCTTCACGGGAAGTGTGGAAGACCGGCTCGTCAAATATCACAGACACTGGCTCTGGACCTTCGGACAGTGTGCACCCTCAGCATTACTGCTGGCCTACGTCCCCAAGCTCGAGGCGTTGGCCTCTGTACTTCTCGTCCATAACGTCTACTGCTTAGCCAGCCAGGCACCGGTAGCCTACGAATATCCCCCCACCCCACCTGGATCAGACATTGCCGCCACCGGTCTCGAGGAGTACTTAATGGACACCGCTTACTACTTCCCCTGGGCCAATTGGACCGTAGACCTTATCGGCTATCTATACGACACCTTCAAACCAACCTACCGCTGGCGGAAGCGGCTTACCGCATCAACCAGCGACACCGAATGGGACGTCGTTCCTAATCGACGAAAACCCGCTGGAACAAAGGCAAAGTCGCCCCTCCCACCAAGTCAGGACTAAAGAAGCTTTGCTTAGGGACCGAGGAGCCTTCTCATGGCAACCGAGTCTCAAAGCAAGCAAACAACTCTCCAGACTACCAACCACCTCTCATGCATACTTAGATAGATAGATTTTAATCCGCATCTCGCGCAATCCGGAACCGAGCCTCCATAACCAGACTAACTGATGGAGTTCGGGAACGTACCCCGCTATGGGAGCTACGACTGCGTGGGAGAAAGTCAGGATTGGGTCGAGGCGGGGGGTGAAGACTAGGGGCTAAAAAGGCGGCTAGATGCGTCCGTTGATGACATACCAATTGAGACAGACGCGCCGAAAGCAGACGCTCAAAAGGGCACCCCCGTATGTCTGTTTGTATGTGACGATGAGTTTGTCGACCGCAGGCTCGGAAGTGATCAAAGGTTCGAGACTGGAGCTTTTGTCGGAAGGCGTGTGCAGCTTTACGGGTGGGAGTGGGCCGTTCGTGGCGGTGTGTCTGGCGACTGTGTCCCATTGTAGTGGCGGGAGGAAGGGCCCAGTGGCGTCCGCCGCAATTTTTGTTTTCGGTAGCAGTTCGAAGATATTTTGAGTGTCTCCGATTTCGCCATAGAGATATTTCAGCCAGTTGTGCACTTTGCGGTCGCCATCGGCGACGATATTCCAGTTCCTTAGGTATGGCAGCAGACGGTTTGCGAGATGACAGTGAGCAGTATTGGTGAGGGAGAAGAAAATGGCGGATTGTGCGATTTCGCAAAAGGGGGAAGTGGAGCCACACACAAAACTAGGCGGTATACAACGACCTTTGTGGTCAGTGGAAAGCTCCGTAATAGGCAAGAGCTCAGTAACGGGACAAAGCAGCCTTGGCAATTTGCCCGCCACATTTTTCGTACGACAAAATTCCACCGTACGGTCCAGATCGGGCCAGATAAATCGGCCTTCTGCTTTTGCTTTCCAGTCCTCCATTTCCGCCAGGAGAGCTGGGCAGGGTTCAGCCCGACTGGTAAGTCGAACCAAACTGATGAGATGGGCGACCATGCCATGTTGTTTTATAGATGGCCATGACATCATTTCTAGAATGCGTCGTTGTTTCAACCGGCCCATCATCTCGTACATCCTTGTTGATGCAGAGTAGTCATGTACCATCGCCATTGCAATCAATAGATATGGGTATTCACTCGATTGAACCGTGGCACCCGAAATAGCTCGGAGAGCATCCCATAATGCTCCCTTCGCATCAGCCAAACCTCCAGACCCGAAACTGTGCACTCTCGACATGCTATGTTCTCCCGCCAGTCCTGTAACCGGCTCTCCTGATGACTTCTTCTCTGACGACTTCTCCTTTGATTGTGGTTTTTTTATAGGGTGTGTCGGAAGGACCAGAGGATGCTGAGGTAAAGGTGTGAGCCCATGCTGCATCATGCAGATACCAACGAACTCCATGGGCACATCAAACAGAATCGATGTCTCAGCTTGTGTCATCAACCTGCAATAGCTAGAACGATATTCGGCCGCCTGCTGTTCTACTTTCCAATCATTTCCTTTGGAGTCTGTTTCGCTGTGTAGAAACTCCAACGGAGACGCCTGGGTCCCCCAGAGTCTAGACGCCAGATCGTAAGGGTGGAGAGTGGCTATGTCAAGAAACTTTTGGAAGGTGCTTGGGATCGCGAGCGCGTTGCCGGCGGTAGTTGGTAGCCAGAAGTTGGACTGTTGTACAGCGAGGGTCCGTGTTCGGGCGGCTGCTAGATACCTAGATATGCCTTGATAGCCTTTGTTGAATTTGCTGGGAGCAGTCAAGGTCTTCTTCACAAAAATTTGCTTCGGTGGATTCGATGGGTTATAAATTGGTCTTTGGCCGTCCAGGAACTGGTACAGTTGGTCTCCAACGGCCTCGAAGCTTCGCAAAAGGGTCGACGTCATTTGATCGCTGGCCTGCGTCCACGGTGCCAGCAATAGGGAACTTAAGTCGTCCGCCATGTGATCTAAACTTAGTAACAGAGACAAACCATCTTCTCCCATAAACTTATCAGAGCCGACGAGAAAACCGTCCCCCTCGCCGTCCATCGCGCCGTCCATCGCGCCGTCAGACTTCAAGTTATTGCTCAGCAGCCACGTCTCTTGTCTCACACATCGCTCTATTTCTGACACCATATTATCCACTATCGGATTTAAAAGCAGCACCATTTTTGGCTCCTCCCGAAAACACTCTCGTGTACTAACCCAGTATACGTAAACACATGGTACTGTGCTCGGGGTAGGCACACTGAAGAGACTAGAGCAAGCCTCAAAGGAAGGGATAACATCTGACATGGTGCCGCCTTTTTTTGTAATGGAGCACCTCACTCCCTTTCCTCTAACGCGACTCTCGATATGGAGGGTGGTACAGACTAGTGTCTGGTACAGACTAGTGTCTAGTACAAACGAATGCTATGCATTGAGGACGACTGCTGATGCTCGATTTCGGAAATCGGAATACACTTCCGCAACGCGCACTGGTTGTAGCGCTGCTTATATCTGCCCGTTAAGCATGTACCAGTTGAGACAGACATCCCGGAAGCATACGTGCAAAAGACCGCCTCCGTAGCTCTGTTTGTAGGTGACGACGATCTTCTTAATCGAAAGCTCAGAGGTCAGCAGAGGTTCGGGACTGAAATGATCCTTAGCAGATGTGAGTAGTTTGATTGAAGGCAGATCCGCGTCGCTGTACACAGCGGAGTGTCGCGCGACTGTGTCCCACTGCAGAGGCGGCAGGAAGGGTCCACTAGTGTCTGCTCCAATTCTCAGTTTGGGCAGTAGTCCGAAGATGTCCGGAGTGTGCGCGATATCGCCGTACAGATGTTGCAGCCAGTTGCGCATTTTGCGGTTGCCACCAGCAACGATATTCCAGTTGCGTATATGGGGCAGCAGACGGTTGGCGAGATTACAATGGTCACCATCGGTCACAGAGAAGAAAATGGCGCTTTTTGCTATTTCGCAAAATAAGGGTGTGGAGCCACACACGAAGCTAGGTGGTATGCAGCCGCTGCGACCCTTTGCTAGCTCCGTTATGGGCAACAGTTGGGTCACAGGACAAAGCACACGCGGCGAAGTGCTTGCCGATCCCGTTTCCACTCCTTTCCTGCGGCACAGCTCCGCCGTCCGGTCGAGCTCGGGCCAAATGAGGCGACCCTCAGCCAATCGTTTCCACTCGTCTAGCTCTACAATTAAAGCCTTGCAGAGCCCGCTGTTATCGGTTCTTCGGATTAAAGCGATCAGCGAGGCCACCATACCGTGTCTCTTGATTCCAGCCATCGGCAAGTCAGTGATGCTTACTTGCTGCAGACGCCCGAGCCTCTCATGCATTTCCATCAACGCAGAATATTCGTGTATCATCGCCATTGCAATCAAAGTGTACGGGAACTCACTAGACTGCCCCGCAGCCCCCGAAATGGCTTGCAGGGAATGCAGCAACAACTCCCTGGCATGGTCCAAACCTCCCCCTCCAAACCTCGCTTTAGACCAGTCGAAACGCTTTCGTTCCCCCACCGCTCCAGGCAGAGTTCCAGACTGGGATCCAGGTCGGGGCAGACCGGGGGCTTTGGCAGTGGGACTAGAAAGAAGGGATTCCGTAGGAGTGAGTCCGTGTTGCATTAAGCAGATCCCAAGAAATTCCATAGGTACATTAAATATAAGGGAGGTCTCATCCCGTACTAGTCTGCAGTATTCATGGTGGTAATCGAATTCATTTGCAAAGGATTTCGCGCCGGATAACCCTTGAGGAGAGGCTCGAGTTCCCCAGAGAAGCAGTGCCAAGTCGTAGATCTGTATAGCGGATAGTTCCAGGAAATCTTGGAAGGTCTTCGGTACGGCGAGCAAATTTGGCCTATTGGCCGGTAACCAGAAGTTGGACTGCTGGATCGGCAGAGTCCGCGTTCTCGCGGCTGCGAGATACCTAGATATACCTTGGTAACCTTTATTGAACTTGCTGGGCGCAGTCGAGGTTTTTTTCACAAAGATTTGCTTCGGTGGATTCGGTGGTGTGTAGGCTGGTCTTTGACCATCCAAGTACTCATACAGTTGGTCTCCAACCGCATCAACAGTACGCAGAAAGGTCGCGGTCATCTGGTCCGTCGCTTCTGCCCAGGGCGCGAATAATAAGGAACTCAAGTTGTCCGCCATTCCGTTCAGTTTTCTTAACAACTCCGCCAGAGAATTATCCCACATGTTCGACTCAGTCAGTAAGCCATGGTCCTTGAAGCTCTCAGGTTTAGGGCCGTTGGGTACGTCAAAGACCTGTTCTTCCCGGCGAAGGCACGTCTGTATAGCCAACACGATATTCTCCACTATCGGGTTCAAAAGCAACACCATCTTGGGCTCATTCCGGAAACACTCTCTCGTGCTAACCCAGTATACGTAAATACATGGCACTGAGCTCGGAACAGCAACACTAAAGAGGCTAGCACAAGGCTCAAAGAAAGGAATCACATCCGACATGGTGCATCTTTTTGTAATGGAGCATCTTCACTATCATGGCCTTCCACTTATACTAATACTAGAGTTTTGGTGGTCGGTCTCGGGGCTGATTATTTCTGTCCGTTAAGCACACCTTTTGGTAGCAGACCGGCGGAAAAAATTCGATCAACACAGGAAAAAAAAATGCTCGTGTATCATCGCCATTGCAATCAAAGTGTACGGGAACTGCCCCGCAGCAACAACTTCCTGGCATGGACCAAAGCTCCCCCTCCAAACCTCGCTTTAGACCAGTCGAAACGCTTTCGTTCCCCCACCGCTCCACACAAAGTTCCAGACATAGTTACAGAGCCGGCTGCACGAGAGGCTTTGGTAGCGGGTCATGACGACCAAGAAAGAAGGGGTTACGTAGGATTGCGTCCGTGTTACATCAGGCAAAGAATAGCATTAGTACATTCAATAAAACGGTGGTCTCATCCCGGACAAGTTCGCAATAGTCATCGCGGTAATCCCAGTCAACCGCAAACTCCCTTCTGCCGGTCTGCTCCCGAGGTGCGGCTCGAGTCCCCCAGAGAAGCAGCGCAAAGTCGTAGATGTGGATAGATGCTCGCCTTAGGAAATATTGGAAGGTCTTCGCGACGGCGATGGTCGGCAACCAGAAGTCGGACTGTTAGTCGGGCAAGGTCCGGGACGGACTGTTGGCGGCTGCGAGGTACCTAGAGATGACTTGGCAGCCTTTGTTGAACTTGCTGGGGGCAGTCGAGGTTTTCTTCACGAAGATCTGTTTCGATGACCAGTACTTTGATGACCCTCCGACTTTACGGAGGTGTGTAGACCGGTACTTGGCCGTCCAGGTATACATACAGTCTGTCTCCAGCGGCCTCGAAGCTTCCTACGAGAGTCGTGGTCATTTGAGCCTCCGTCCAGGGCGCGAGCGATAGGGATCATAAGTTCTCAGCCATGCCGTGCCAATCCGTTAACAGCTTCGGGATGCCATTTCCTCCTTTGTCCCACTGAGCGAGCAACCGATCCACCTTAAAGTCCTCGGGTCGCGAGCCGTCGGAAGTAACTATGGCCTGTTTTTCCCGGCTAAGCCACCTTCCCATGGCCGCGACAATGTTTTGAACTCTCGTACTGACGTTCGTCACGCATGTAGTTGTGAAGACAGATCAGAATATGCGTCAGTGAAAATAGTTGGAACTCGCGCTCTCCAGAACTAAAACTAGTGGTAGTGAGACATTGTGGTATTGAGACATTGTGGTAGTGAGACATTGTGGTATTGAGACATTGTGGTATTGAGACATTGTGGTATTGAGATGTGTGTGCTTACATTGCTCGTGGCGTTTGCAGTAGCGGTCGAATAAAGGTTCTTTGACACTATAAGGAGGGTTTGAGGGGACGGCATTGAGTTGGTGTAGAGCGTCCTTGAAGTTTCTAAGTTTGTTGCTAATCTCCCTGGTGTCCAGCTGGAAGGAGTTGAGATGGTTATAGAACTTCGACACGCGGACAGGTGTATGTCTCTGTGCCTGTCGTCGCAGGAGGGTGAGAAGTTGTACGGTTTCGACAGCTTGTCGGACTACGAGTAACACATGAAGAATTAATTCTTTAAGACAAGCGATGAGTATTAATCTGTCTTGGGAAGAGAGTGTATCAGCGTGGACGTAAACCATAATTTGTTGATAACTGGCAGCATTCCCGAATTGATTGCCAAGACTCTGTTCGAGGCCCAAGCATAGGATATTACGGAGCTCCGATCCCAGCACAAGTCCAGTCTGTCGGCCATTTGCCAGCGGTGTGGCTCTCCCTGCCAATCCACCCATGGCGGTTCCGCTCATGGCGGTTCCACCCATGGCGGTTCCGCTCATGGCGTTTCCGCTCATGGCGGGTCTGCCGGCCTCCACCAGTTTTCGCACGCTATCTCGACGGCAGGTCGACAACTGCTTGCGTGCGCTTTCCCGGTCTTTGGGCACGCCTCTATCCAGCAAAATACCGCCGGTCGAAGGCGGTATAGCCAACAAAAGCTCACGGAGTCCTCTTGCTATATAGATAGCCCCACTCAGCAAGTTCTCCACCCGAGCCAGAACCGTATCTCCAATAAGCTGTTCGTCGAAGAACACCAAATGCCCAATCTCCGGGGAAAACAATGCTTTAGGCACCAATGGTGACAGCGCACGAGGCGGTATGCAGCCCATAAGAGCCAGGATCTGCTCACGATTGTAATGCAGAAAATGTTTGTTACCAAACAGCCGCGGTCGTAACACGTACATCAAGAACCGACTTAACCAACTCCACTCGCACGTTTGAGCTAACACCACCAAGAAACATGCCGTCCCAGGGAACTCATCTTCCACCTCGGAATCATCAAACGTCTCCCGACGGGGATGTACCCCGACTATGCCTTTTTGAGGGACGTGATACACCGACTTCGATAAAGAAGCAAGCTTGCCAGAATTCTCTAGATAAAACCCCAGTTCGTCAGGGATGTTCTTACGAACAGGACAATTCATAAAGAATTCCTGTATCCGACTCTCTCGCTTAACATACTCATCCTGTATCCGTCTATTGTTCCGAGAAACACTATCATCCATTTTCAAAACAATCCTTGGTTCAATCCTTGGCTCGTCTATTGGTTTTTTTGTGGCGCTTATCTTTGCATCGGCACGGGGATAGATAGCGTCAAGTTTGGGTTCATTTTTTGAAGTGCTGAGAATGCCAAGGTTCTTTCCTATCTCCGATTCCGGAACACAGAAATCCAGACAGGACTTAATATGAGCAAAGGCTACCAACTGAGTAACTAGCGCAGGTGCTGATATTGTAAGAAGAATCTCATTCGGTCCTGCGATATGTCTCGCTCTGGTTGTATGGCTGTACCGTAACACAATATAGACCAACACCATCTGTGTTAGCACCACACAAATGTATCCTATGAATAGCGATAACACTGCGTCAGGTCTCCAGATTGCCAAGCCCTCAACAGAGCCCTCAGACAAGGCTCTCATAAACGTGCTCAAACCGGAAGGGCTAAACAACAGTTGGAGAACCGAGCCCGGGGCGACCAGTTCCGGAATTAACAGGGTAAGGATAGTAGCTGCAAACCAAACAATGCCATAACTTAAGAAGTCTTTCCGGAAACTGGTACACCAAGATACCATACTGCATCGACAAGTACTACGGTCTATCAATTTGGCTAAGTATTCTCCAATAACCGGAACACCAAACACCCAGGCACGTAGAATTACAAACATCCGATCACACGCAATGTCATCTTCGAATCCAGCTACCGGAGCATAACAACTAACCGGTTCATTTAATCGTTGCCAAAACTTGCGAACAAACCTTCCCACGGCAGCTACGTGATGTTTACTCTTAATGACCAGTAGTTTAGGCATACACATGGCCTTGCCCAACCAGCCATTTACCCACTGCATCACCAGTATACATTTCAACCGGTCACTACGACTCTGGTCACTACGACTCTGGTCACTACGACTCTGGTCACTACGACTCTGGTCACTACGACTCTGGTCACTACGACTCTGATCACTACGAATCTGGCCACTACGAACCTGGTCACTACGAATCTGGTCACTATCGTCTTCCTCATACTGTTCCCATTCAATCACGAACGCCTCCGACCCACCAGTCGAACACTTGTGCACCAGCATTACACCACCTGCAATATCCGCTACCACTTCGGGAAGAGTTAAGCTTCTGCCAAGTAAAGACTCATGTAGACTCATACAGAATCGCACCACCACGAACAAACTGATGAGCTTAGCAACAGACAATGAGCGAACAAAGAAATCCCAATAGCCTGTATAAAATCTAGGGGAGTCTAAGAAACGTAACATTGCTATTACCGCTAGCACTTTGGCTACCATGTACATGCAATACAGAGAAGAAGTCACCGAATACAGTGAGGCTACCACATGCAGGGTGGACATGATATGGGTTGAATAGTTTACGGGTGACGAAGGCGGCGGTGACAACTGCTAGTAGCCACAGGTGTATCAGAAGACTTTCGGAGTTCCAGACGAACTTGAGGGAGGCTGCCAGACACAACATTGATACTATTAGTAAATCCGGGATGAGACTGGCTATGGCTCTTAGGAGAACGCTTTCCCGGACTCGCAAGTCTACCTGTATGCAATCATTGTGGAACTTCTTTACACTTTCGGAGTCCACCTGGTCTGGCCGGTGGGGTAAGGTACTAATCGGCGGACCCGGGTCCTCACCCACTCCCTCAGGCTCAGGAACTAACCGGAAGAACGCCGCACACATTTTTTGGGACGGAAAACCGCCTTTTAAAATCACCTGCGGAGGACGTTGGTTGGACAAAGGACTTTGGACAAGCTCAAGCAACCTGGAAAAGAAGGTTGCACGTAAAGGCCATTGCTTCCGCGAACGAGAACGTATAACGCCGGGTGAAACATCCCTGCTCAATACCCAAGTACCGCTGCTATCTATCTAAATTTCACTGTTCACTGAACTCACTGTTCACTGAACTCACTGTTGACTGAACTCACTGCCGAATTTTGAAACGTCACTTCTGAACAATTGGCATCTAAGCATTATTGCTGAAAGCCAAGACGTTCTTCCTAAATATTAGGCGCTGGATGGTGAAAGATACTCAACCCCAGTCTGCAATACCTCAGTCTGCCGCGCCTCATCAGCAGGTTGCTGTGTCCCAACAGCTTGCTGCATCTCAACAGTCTATGACTGTGCACCAGTCGTTGGTGGGTCCTTCGTTTATCCAGCAGGTGGCCTCTTCGTCGCTTGACACTCCCAGGCCGGACAGCAACTGGGTCACGTCGGGCGACAGTTTCGGCCAGCCAGGGGCAGTGCCCAAATTGATACCTTTACGTCCAGAGGAGTTAACCTCGGACGCTTCTAGCCATCTGAGCGATAAAATTCGCATGGCGAGAATTGTCCACAGCAAGATCGAGGAAGCCATTCTCCATGGCGACCGAGAAGCGAGCCAACTGGTGGAAACCCTTGGCCAGGTCTTGGTCGACAAAAGCTCCCACTCCTTTCAACAACCTCCTAGCGTCCCAGTCCCGATCCGCCCACCTCCCAGGCTGCCCAAACCCTCCGTCATGGGCCAATGCACCGAGGAAGATGACTCATCCGTGCTTGACGAGGCGCTGCGAGACGAGACGGCGATCGACGAGGAGGCTCCGCCTGAAGAATGCTCTGCACAAAATGTAAGCGCGAACTCGAGATTCGTTAGCCAACCAATCAGATGGCTACTTGTGTGCGCTTCAAGCCAGTTAGTGTCATCTCCGTTATGGTAGTCATTTAGATTTGCGTCAGTTAGTGTTAGCAAATCCCATATTCTGTGTTGCAGTTTGCGAATGGTGGTTGTGCAACGGTGGTACAGATAGCAGAGCGTTGCAGTTCGGCGGCGAAAGAAACGACTATTCCATTGACGCGTAGACAGTTGATTTGGCGGTTCTTGGTGTTGGCTGTAGTGTGTGTCGCGGCCTCCCCGACGTACTTGTTCGGTCCCTTGGTTCAGGAAGGTGTGTTCGCATTGGATTTGTATCGGCAGCAGATGTGTGGTGAGCCACCACACGCTCCTTCGTTCTTCTTTGGTGCACCGGTACCGCAACCGGCGGCGGTGTGTGCAGTACGACATCATTACGTCTTGATGCTGACGGTTTTGGCGCTGGTTTTCGAAGTTCTGCTTGGCGGCATCACTCTCACTCTCTACCACCGGTTGCCTACTAAACTCACTCTCTCACTTGGCTTGTGTGTCCGTGCGGCCGCTCTACTATGGGGCTCCAGTCTCCGCTCTCTCACTGCACACAAACCCCCTCGTGAACTTACGCTTTTCTTCCTCGCACTTGGCGGAGACCCTGTCTTCTTCCTCGCTCTTGTACTTGCCGTGCACCTACTCGCCGCTTACCCCCAACGCATCGTTGGCGCTTTCATGACTATACGCTTCCTCGCCGCCGCTGTCCTCCTCTACGCCGCCCACCCCCGACCGGCCATCACCGCGACCCCGCACTACCCAAGACGCGAAGACGATTATTCAAGACACGAAAACCACTATTCTAGACGCGAGCCCGAAGACGGCCTCGCCTACATCCTCGACCTGCCCGGCACGCACCTGGCCGGCCAGGGCTCACTGCACTCTTCCGACTTGCAGGCTGCAGCAGATTTACAAGCTGCTGATGATGATCCGCACGATGCCCAACCTGGACCCCCAGGACCAAACCTATCGGGCTTCGGACCACCAGGACTCGGCCCTGCAGGACTGGGACCACTAGGACTCGGCCCTGCAGGACTGGGACCACCAGGACTCGGCCCTGCAGGACTGGGGCCGTCGCCCAGTCAATTCGAACAACCACCCAGTCGGTTCGAACAACCACCCAGTCGGTTCGAACAACCACCCAGTCGGTTCGAACAACCACCCAGTCGCTTAGGACCGGGTATTGTGGCGGAGTCAGTGTCGGTGGCGTTGTTTCACGGTTCGTTGTTTGTATTGTTGGCAGCGTTTTTGAGTTTGGCGTTGGTCAAGCGCAAGAGTTTTAAAAAGGACTTGCTGGCGAAGGGTTCACGGGATCGCGACCCATGGCGGTATAGTAGTTGTTTGGAGAGTACGGCCTACCAGGATTCATTGAAGCGGTTGGAGTCATTGCGTTCAGGTGTGGCGAATGAGTCTTTGAAACGTCAGCTACTACAGTCTTCAGTAATTGCACGGCCATCAGTGCGGAACACGGCGCGGCAATTGGTGTCTCTTCGTGGGTTGCTACTCGGTATTTCCACGGGTCTTAGTTATCTCGTGCTCTCAACAACTCTTGGTACCATGAGATTGGATAACGAACGTCCGGCACTCCTCTTTGTGGCTATCTGCGCCCTCCCTATCTGCTGTTTCGGCAAGTTCCTTGCACCGCATATCACGCTGCTCTACCCTCTGCTACTCTGGTTCGCACCTCGACCACTGAGCGTCGTCAGCGCTCTGGTACTCTCTCTCCTCAGCCAGTGTACCGTCTTCGGCTACTTCCTCACACGTCGCACATTCACACTTCTCGGAATCATCCTTGCACTCTCCGGCCTCGCCGCACTCAACGCCTTCTACCTCGTCGTTTTCCGCGCACTCCCGACCCTCCTCTGCACCACCGCTCTCATCAACGCCCTACTCCTCACAGCTCTCGGAATCAAACACAACTCGCTCCGCTAACCACGCCTTCATGCCCACTCCAAAGCGTCTTCCGCTACCTCGACATCTGCATGATACCCCTCAAACACTTCTTGGGGGATACCCACCTCGATGCGCTCCATCTCACGCACGAACGCCTCCAGTCCCCACGGCTCACTATGTTCGGCAACTAGTTGGGAGACTGGTTCGGCAACTGGCTCGGCGACTGACTCACTAACTTTGGCGACCGACTCACAATGTTCCGCGCCGACCTTCCTCTGGTCTGCTGACCTGTCAACAAACTCGTAGTCTTTGCACTTGCCAGAAAGCGAGACCCGATCGGATGGCTCCAATGACGGTACGGCTAAACAGCGTTTGATTTTCTGCCAGAAAGCATCTGCCAAATTCTCCGTCGATTCCAGAACAGGTCCCATCTGAAGACCGGCCTGACCTACCATGACTAAGCATTCGGCCGGTGTCACTTTGAGGCGGTCCACTTTGTCCAAGGCCACACGTGGAAGATATGAATCGTCTCCCGCACCCAATTCGGCAATCCTCTGTTTCGCTAACTTGATGTTCTTAATCATTTGTTGATTGTACGCGTCGAATGTGAGACAATTTGCCGACTTTACCTTGAATTTCAGGCCTTGGTCGGCTGCTTCGGGGGCGGTCGTGACTGCTTCGGGGGCGGTCGTGACTGCTTCGGGGGCGGCCGTGACTGCTTCGGGGGCGGCCGTGACTGCTTCGGGGGTGGCCGTAGTAGCGTGCTCTGAGTCGCGGTTCCGGAGCCAAAATTTCTCGTGAGTTGCAAAGTCGTATTTAACCTTCTCCCTTCCTTGGATGCCGGGGGGCGCTCCTCGCCGCCCTACTTTAAGGGTATCGCTCACTCGAGGTACTCGCCGTATCTCACATCCAGTCGAAAGGTGTGGGAATATCTCTGGCGTCTGAATGCAGTGGGCAACATTGGGACAAGAACACGGTGGCAAGCGTCTGGGCGCAGCAGAGAGTTCCACTGCACTCTCATCCTCCACATCATCATCCACGGGAACGATGACGGACTCACAGCAAGACGGCACACTCTCCAGCCAACAGTCGCCCATTACCGACTCGGGCAGAGCCAAGAAGAGTTGGTCATCCGGGCCAATTTCGGGCGGGCACTTGCTCACTCGCCGTAACCGGTCACCAGCGAAGAGGGGCACCACTTTCTTAGGATTCTGGTGCCAGACGTCGTAATGCACCAGCCGATCCGGCAAAACGACCGTATTTTCGACAGCTCTATCCAACGCGGCTTTTGACGCCAGGACTGAAAATAGCCAGTCCTTCTGCCACGGAATTCGTTCGAAAGGCTTACTACCCATACCTGCCGGACCCCCCACGGTGAAACCATCCGAGAGCGGGACCACCCACCCCTTGCTGAAGCCGCCTTCAGGCACAATCAGTATAATACTCAAAATCAGAGACAGGGGGGTTCCAGGGATTCCAGAGTGCCCTTTTCTTGACTCCCGCATGGTTGACTTAAATAAAAATCCAGGCCGATAGTCCAATCACGGCCGACGAAATTATTCGGGCGGAGACCGAACCGCTCTGCAGCTGTTTTTGCCCGACTAACGACGACACATTCGGAGCCTCCAAAACGTCAGCAATACGCGTCGTGGGCGGCGTAGGAAAATCGTCCCATGAATTCGAAATTTCCGTCTCAAAATCTTCGTTGAACGTAAGTTGACCAGCTGTGCTAAGCGTCGATGTCGAAATGATGGGTGTTGATGTTGCGGCGGTCGTCGTCTTCTTCTTCTTGGGCTTTTTTGTAGTCACACCGAGCGTCGCTGCTGCACTCAGCTGCTCCGCGACACCGAGAGCACCATCCGAGGGTTCTGGAGCTCCCAAAACCGAGCAGAATATGACGAACTTAACTAGCTGCATAAGTGCGCGTGTTTGCAGCACACACACGCGCGCGCGCGCTCTGCGCGAGTGATATTTGCTACCCTTTTTAATGTGGAGTGAACTGATTGGGGGCATTCTCTTTGTGGGTTATGTGGGAACAACTCTCCGGACTTTCATTAAAGCTTCTACCCCGCCAGTTTGCGCCGCATTAGGCAGCGAGTGCGTAGCGCCCGGAATTGGTTTGGGCGACGACTACGTTGTACATTTGCATGGCTCCGATTTCGCTCCTCAGGAGTTCTCTAGAAGCTATGACTCTGAACTGGAGTCGATGATGTTGTATCCCAAGTAAGAGCGCATTCATGCTCAAAGGATTCATGCATGGGATCATGGACATTATTCACGGGTAGCGTCCATCTTTGTTTGGCAGGGGCGATGGAGAAAGCGTTCATATCGGATCGATAAAGACCAAGGTAGGCTTCGAGTCCGACTGCGATGCTACTTCTATTTTGGCGGGCGTAGGCTCTGTGGAGACGGCGAAGGCAAGTTGGCTTGGGGCGGTGTGGCGGAAGGTGACGGGGAAGCGGCAGTGTGTCGCCCTCTTGGAATTTTCCCCAATGGAGTCCTGGTTGACGAACAGTACGAGAATATTTGTGAGTGTGATTCCCAGTTTGGCGGAGCGGTACGACCAGTTGTCGTTTTCGCCTTCACGCAGTCCGGTGTCGCTGATGTACCAGCCGGAGAAGCGGGATCGCGCTCGGAAAAGATTTCTATTGAGCGGAGTAGAGAGTCGGGCGGGGTTTACGGACCCCTACATGGCCTTTCCCCCGGAGGTGCGAGTGGGACCCATCTTTGTCGCCGGTAATTTCAACTCAACCCAGTTGCTGACGCTTGGTAAGCGACATTGGCTCCGTCGAGACCGAGACGGTGGCCTGAAATACTACCCCGACGCACTAGTGGAGACATATGTGTCGCCTCGAGACGAGTATATTCCGCAAGACGGCGAAATTCGGCATATTCGCGCTGTAGTTGCGAACAAAAAATTCGACGTCGACCACCCCTCGATCCGACTGTCCCTAAGCGACGTATCCTGGCGGAAACACGCCGTGGAACAGTTGATGATGAGCGCTATGGGCCGCATGGAGCGACAGTTCGGCACCACGCAATACGACAGTGACAGTTTGAAACTGCTGTTTGCGGGACAGTCCCCCATTATCCTGCTGGTTACCTTCCTTGTCTCCGTGCTGCACGCCCTCTTTGAGATGCTGGCCATGGCTAGCAGTTGGTCTAACTTTCGGCAGACCTGCAAGAGTCAAGACATGGCGCAGCAGATGTCTTCTCGAGCCATCCTCCTGGACACAGTTTTAGAGGTTCTAATCCTTGCCTGGCTCTACGACGAGGGAGAAGCCAAATTAGTGCAACTTCTTCTTGCCCTCAAAGTCGTCTTCAACGCCTGGCGCTGGTGGCGGCTCGCTGGGGTGCAGAAGAAGCAACAGACCGAGACGGTTGGACTGGCGGGAACGGAGATAGGGGAAGGGCGCGGGAACATGTCGGAGGTAAAGGAGAACAGAATTACTGTGTTCAAGTTGGTCCGGACGGTGAATCCGTTGGACGCGCTCCGGCCGGAAAGGCTTAGAGTGCAGCGAGAATTGCTCGACGCGGATACCTTCGAGTTATGGTCGCTGGTATGTTTGAGCTTGTTGCTGCTGCCCGTGCTCGCGGCGTGGGCCGTGTACCAAGTAGCGTGGCAGCCGCAAAAGGGCTGGTTCTCAGTTGCGGTTTTGCTCGGTGCACACACGGCGTACGCCGGCGGTTTCATTGCAATGACGCCGCAGCTCTACAAGAACTACTACTACCGCTCCGTTACACACCTGCCCTGGGTTGCCCTCACCTACAACTTCCTCAACACGATCATCGACGACCTCTTCTCCTTCCTGATCCGAATGCCCAAAGCGCACCGTATCAGCGTATTCCGGGACGACGTGATCTTCGTCATTTACTGGCTACAGAAGATTCACTACGCTAAACAGCAAAAGACCGCGGAAAGACCCAACGCTTTAAAACAGCCTAAGGCAATTCCTGAAGAAGAGCGAATGCCGTTTATCAAGTCCTCTGTCGAGTTGAAGTCGAGGCGGCCCAAAACAGTCCACAGCTCCAAGGCAGTCCACAGCTGAACGGCCAACCTGTCAAGAAAAAGGGGGAGGGGGGGGGTGAAACCAGGGATGCTTTTTTTCGGCGGACGACAGATGGCGCGCTGGTTGGCCCTGTCGATCGCGTTGTGGTCCTTGGTCATCCTCAGCATCACAACGTACTTGGTGTCGGTGCGGCGTCGAGAGGTGTTAGCGTCGCCGACCAGGCGGTTGAAGGTTTGCCACGTGGCGGACTTCCATGCCGCAGTTGAGCGACGTGTGGACCGTGCGGAGTATGCACTGTGTGAAACGAGTCACATGGCGTTGTCGAAGGCGATGATGATCCGGAAACTGATGGAGAGTTGCGACGTACGCCTGTTTGTTGGCGACCTAATGCATGGGGGGGACTACGACTTGCTGGAGCCGCGCGATTCTCCAGTCCTTGGATTCGAACCGCCGACCCCTAACTTGTCGCTGGAGGAGGATGTAGTCGAGCCGAAGGGGGGGGGTGTAGCCCGGAAGCTGATCCCCCTCTGGGGTATAGACGCTTGGGTACCTGGAAACCATGAACTGGGGACTGAAATGGACATACTCGCAATATTAAATGAAGATTCAGTTCGTGCTGATTCGAACGACGATGGTCAGAGCGGAGATGGGGGGCAGGGGGGAGATGGTCACAGTGGTCTGGGGAGCGAAGGCGGCGGGAGCGAGTTCCGGCAGACGAGTGATGACATTCCGATACTGTGCAGTAATCTACAGTTGAGTGATAAGGCGAGCGATAGGCTTCGGAAGAAGCTTCGGATTAAGCCTTGGGTGCGGCTGGAGCGTAACGAGGTGCCAATCTGTTTGTACGGAGTTGTTAGGGAGGAGTTAATTGATAGTGATTTGTACGAGACCACATCTCCCGTGGAGGGTTTCTTGGACGCGTATTATTCTTCTAAGCCAAGTTGTGAAGGGGCGTTGACGATTGTGCTTTCGCACTCTGGATGGAAAGAGGATGAGGAATTCATTAGAGAGGTGGAAGCACGATCTGAGCATGTGGACGTAGTATTGGGTGCACACTCCCACAACATTTCACCGGAGCCATATCCCTGGGTATTTGACAATGGCACCATCCTCTCCCACATAGGTAGTTACGGAGGCTGGGTTGGTGTGCTGGATCTCGTTTCCTTCTCGGACCCCGAATGGCGAAGCTGGTCCGCAATGCCTTGGGCCGCAGCACCCACACACCGCCTCTTCCCCTGGGTGCTCGGCCACCGCACAATGCGAGTTAGCACCCACTACACAATACTCAATGATACTCGACTGGGCCTTGATCCCAACCACCTCGCAAGAGCTGTCGCCGACGACCTGGTACGGTTGGCCGAAACACCCGTGCTCGGCACGGGAGGGGAACCCATGGCAGCAGACGCCCCAAGAGCGAGCGGACTGACGGAAGGGAGGGCACTTGCCAGTCCGAAACGTTCGAATGCGAACATTCCCATCCGGGGTGATCCCACCCGAGGCGATCCCGGCCGAAGCGATCCCGGCCGAGGTGATTTGGCTAACGGCCAAGTTTCCCGAATGTTTGACGACCAAGTGGTGGAGACATGGTCGATGTTACGGGAGCCTGCGTGGGAGGATGAACGTGAGCACGGCATCATGTTAACTCATTTGCGCAGCACAATGAACTTCAGAAGAAGCAATATGCATAGCCATGGCATGGACCTATTCAGGACCGCACCTCCTCGCCACAACGTTGCGGTGTCCGTAAACACTGGAGTCGTGAAAGCGGTACCTCTTTCACCAGACGTATTTAGCCAGCTGTGTGAAGAGGACCACCGGTTGCTAAACAGGCACCGTAGTGACTTAACGAACCTGATCTCCAAAATGACCCAGACCACAGTGGCATTGCTTCCAGAGAATATGGTGTCGGAGGAAGCCATAGCCTGTCGATTCGGTCAGTGTATGCTGGGGAAGTGGCTGGGAGGCGTCTTGCGGTTTTCACCAACAGTGGCCGCTCGAGAAGTCAAGATGGAATGTGCCCCAGACGTCTTACTCGAGGCAGTGGAGGCAGTTTCCAAAAGGGATGAAGCAGCTTCCAATACAGTTGCCGCTGGAAGGAAGCGTTCGTTGAGTGAGATAAGAACTGTTTTGGGTATGATCCAAGGCGGTATTTTGCGGGGTGGGTTACCCCCCCGGTGTGAGTCTGTATTCGAGCAGAGGGCGGGGGGCTGCTCACTCACCGCCTCCGACCGGACCGTGGATCTGTACGACGTAAACCGGATCCTTCCGTTCCACAACAAGGTGCGAATCGTGGTTTTGAAGAACCTACACAGCCTGTGTCACATCCTCACGCGGGCCGTGTGGCAATGGAACACACACAATGGCAGTCATCCCGGACTCGTTCATTTCGGCGGCCTGGATTACTTCATCAGGTCCAATAACACCATCCTTCAAGACGACCCCCAGACCCAGACTGACCTGTCTCAGACAGACTCCCTTACCAGTGCCTCAGCCAGCATGCTATCCGAGGGTACTAAGCAACACTTCGAGTCGCCTCCAGCCGTCTACAAGGGACGGCAGCCGCTGTTCGACCCCTTGTGGACATTGAAGAACAAGGAGCTAATAGGCATTCGCTTCTCGAGCATACGTGGCGACCGTGTTGAGGGCGTTTGCGTATCGGAGGGAAACACTTCAGAGGAGGGGCCGCCTAGGACCAAATGGAGATGCCGGGGACGAGACTGTACGAAGCCGTCAGGCAAAATCCTTCTAGTGACCACCGACCTGCTCGTCAAGGGTGCAGACGGAGGCATCTTACGCTGGGCGGATGATGTGGACTTGGACTATATGCGCCAAGTGGCAAACCAGTCTGCGGAAGAAGCTGCTCAGGACGACCCAGACCAAGACCAGGATGAGGACCGTCTTGAGGGCGCCAGTCGAAACGAGCACGACCTCGGATGTTGGTTCCGAGGCCTGGAAAACTTGACGATAAACGACGCTGCGGTTCTATTCCTCGACACGTCTATAACCACAACCAAATCCCTCTATCGGACGAAAACAAAACCGCTTAAGACTGCCGACCAAACCGCCAACTTGCGCAATGTCCAACAGGACCTGCGCAACTCCGACACGGGAATTGCTCTTTCCCTTGAAGGTGGTGCACAGCAGCCGGCAGATAGCGCTGTGCTCGAGGACGCCGACCCGGGGCCAGGTAACGGGGCTGTTCCCGAAGCGGCACCTGTTCCTGACGTGGCGTCTGTTCCCGAAGTGGCACCTGTTGTTGTCCTTGATTCGGCAGTCGAAGGAGTATCCCGGAAAGTGAAAAGTGAGATACAGTCGGGTGATATTGGCGCTGCAGTTTTGGCTGACGAGGAGGAGGAGGGTGATAGCTAGTTGGACAGCTGGCTAGGTGGACGGCTGGTTAGTTGGAATCAGCACACACGTGTGTTCGCATAAGTTGTGCTGCAGCAAACACATGCTCGAGCAAACACATGCTCGAGCAAACGCGGATTCGAGCAGGCGCGGGCTAAATATTTTTATGGGAGTGTTGTGGGCTTATGAGGGGTTATTCCAGGAGTGGAGGAGCTCTTGGCTTGGTCACCTCCACGGCAAGGGCAAGATATGTCGGCTGGGTGAGCTGGATCTGTCCCGGTGGAGTGAGTTGAATCAGGGCGGCACAGAGCCCGGAGTCCAGAGGTTGATAGTGGAAAACGCCGTTCATCTGAAGGGAAATATAGATGCTACGTTGCTGGACGCCCGCTGCTCAGCAAAGGAAGCCAAGTGTCAGTTGTCTCAGAACCAAAAAACTCGGCTGAGGTATGAGTGGGCTAAGATTGTGCTGCAGGAGTTATCTCACTGCAACGCATCCCCCATATCCTACCTCATTCAGACACAAGAGGAGTGGATTGCAGTAGTTGAACTGATTACAGCAGCCTTGAGTCTAGACGACGTCGTCGAGTCCGCCAAGATTGGCTCCTGTAAGTGTTTTGATACTGCTTCTGAAGACGAAAGCTGCGTGCTGGGGAGCTGCGTGCTGGGGATGTTAATGGCACTGTTTCAGTCAACCTACACTAAGCCGGCTCGCTGGAACGGGTCTTCGGTTTTGATTCAGTGTCTATCACGGCTGGACGAACACGCGCTCTCCCTTTCCGCACAGCGCCACGTCGAGATTATGGTCGGTGAGGCTGTTGCTCTCGTGGACAAGAAGGTTCGTCAAGAATGGTTCACTCTCTCGTCCAGCAACTGGGTCCGAAGCCTCATCGCATACAACCATTACAAACAGTGCATTGCTTCACAAAAAAAAGGCTCTTATGCCGTAGCGGATACATTCGCCATGCTACTGCCCGAGTCGGCGTCTTCGACACCCGCGTCCGAGGGTGTGGAGAGGTATGAGCTTGTGATTGAAGTTTTACGACTAATCTCTATCAACGGCGGTTCGTCCAACATTTCCTATTGCCAAGAGATACTGAAGTACGTGGATCAGCAATTGACTGACTTAATGTCGGAAACAAGGACGAGTAACGCCTGTATTATATACAACGGAGTTTTACTAGCGAACCAGCTGTGGCCTCGACAATCGGCGGTTCATGTGAAAAGTCTTATACCTACCCTCCGAAGAGCCTGCGAATTGGAACCGTTCCTTATCTCTTCATTCTCTCTCCATGGTGTCCCAGCACTACTGGAGATGATTCCAGCATGTCATGACCTCTTTGCACGGACGACTGCCGGGAACCATCTTTCAAAATGTCCGGCTCCCAGTCCGGCTCCCAGTCCGGCTCCCAGTCCGGCTCCCAGTCCGGCTCCCAGTCCGGCTCCCAGTCCGGCTCCCAGTCCGGCTCCCAGTCCGGCTCCCAGTCCGGCTCCCAGTCCGGCTCCGAATAGTCTATTGATGACTTGCATAAAGTATGCCAAACGTGTGACACCGGGTGAGGCAACACAGGTTGTCCTTTACGGTGAGACTGAGGTGAAGAAGCGGGGCATCCGAGGCCTGTCCTGGGCAGCCCTCCTGTTGGCGTACGCCGAAGGATCAAAGACCACCTTTTCGTCTGACTTCCTCAAGATCCTGAGTCGAGAAATTACGAAACTGGGGATTGCGAAAGTGGGAACAACAGGCCGTCTAGAGTCCGTCGTGAACAACGATTACTCGGATTTTATCAGCCTGTGGATTGCTGCCTGTGGTCGACACTTGAACAAGGCTTTTAGGAACACTGACATTGTCATTCCGCTTAAGCCAGAGACCCCGGTTGCTCTGGATATTAAGTGTGGTGATAAGGACCTGATCAAAACGATCAAGGAAGGGTGCAAAGCCTGGAAGTGCAGTAATACTAAGTTGTTGCAAAGACGGCTGAAAAATTCGAAAAATTCGAAATTAAAAGATTTCAAGCCGGTATTCGATGCACCTGTGAAGCTAGCCAAAGACACGAAGTCTGCGGTGCTGGCGGGAGCCCAGGGTGTGGCAGGTACGCGCAATGTGATCTCGAGTATTATTGCGTCATACGGGGACGTTGACGGTTGGAGCTTGTCGGAGCTGACTAGTGCCATGTACGAATTGGACGGGCTGGTGTCTCTTTTATTCAACGCACTCCAGAGAGCAGGTCCAGAGCCGGACGAAGGAGATGCACAACTAGGTAACATGCCGCACGCAGGTCAGGTGGAAGACAATGATGTAGTCGACGAAGAATTGGAGTACGGATCTCGGGCTAATGCTAAGACTGAGTCGTTCGAGCCAGCCACCGTCGAATGCTTGCGCGGGATGCTTGTTCTTTACTGTCGGTGCCTTTCGAGACTCGGTTCCCTTTGCTACGCTTTAACTGCCAGCAGAACAACAAACCATACTGGTTCTAGTGCCCGGGACGCGAAGGAATATTCTGTAGTTGCGCTGCCTCTGCGCCTCGTTACTTTGACCTGCAATCCGCCGGTCATGACACCCGGCACCCTATCAAGACGGTGGTTCCATGGCGTGGTGTGTCCCCTAACTGGTTTGATCACCTATATAATTACGGCGAGCACTCGTTTTCTTTCTGACCCCGATGCCTCGTTAGAATGCAAGTTGCACTGTGTACAGCCTCTCGCGCGTTTTATCAACTACGTCATCAACCGATGGACCCACGTCCGGCTCCCTCTGAAGCCTTTGCACCCCGCTATACAGAACATCCAGGAAGCGAATGCGCTGGTCAAGCAGCAGCTGGAAGGCTACGAAGTGATGGACGTGACCGGAAATATGGAGCAGCAGGAGATCGACCGAGAAATCGCTGGCTACATTCGGCTGGCTCTGCAGAAAATTGAGAGCGTCAAGACGTAAAAACGTCGTGACGCAATAACGTCAAGACGTAACGCAATATCGTGGCGCAATAACGTCAAGACGTAACGCAATATCGTGGCGCAATAACGTCAAGACATCCAATCGGTAAGTCACCTGTGGATGCCCTCTCTCTCTCTCTGTGGGGGAGCTCCCCTAGAGAGTCCTCTGGAGGTCCCGTCTGTGGATGCAGGGGTGCAGGTGCAGGAATCTGCGTGCACGTGGTGAGAAAAAATGTCTGCAGAAGCTGGTGAGAACGCCCCCGCTCTTGTCGTGGATAACGGTTCGGGTCAGGTGAAGGCCGGTGTGGCCGGAGATGACGCTCCTTCGTCTGTATTTCCTTCGATTGTGGGTACGCCCAAGTTGGTTGGAGTGATGGCTGGTGTGGAGAAGAAGGACTTTTACATTGGTCATGAGGCGCAGGCGAAGCGAGGTGTCTTGGCGTTGAAGTACCCTATTGAGCACGGTGTCATTTCGAACTGGGACGATATGGAGAAGATATGGTATCATACCTTTTATGATGAGTTGCGTCGTAACCCAGAGGAGCATCCGGTGTTGTTGACGGAGGCGCCTATGAACCCGAAGACAAACAGAGAGATGATGATTCGAATGATGTTCGAGACCTTCCAGGTCCCGGGCGCCTACGTCGCTATCCAGGCCGTGTTGTCGCTGTACGCCTCGGGTCGTACCACCGGTATAGTATTTGATTCCGGTGACGGTGTAAGTCACACTGTACCTATCTACGAAGGTTTCGCCATGCCCTCGTCCATCCGCAGACTGGATCTCGCTGGCCGCGATTTGACAGAAGTCATGCAGTCGCTACTCACTCTTGCCGGCTACTCTTTCACTTCTTCAGCTGAATTCGAAATTGTGCGCGATATCAAGGAACGTCTTTGCTACGTTGCCGACGATTTTGAGGCGGAGCTCGAACGTCTGAATACCGCCGAAGGGTTCGAAGACATTAACCGTCAGTATGAACTGCCCGACGGAAACATCATCGAGGTCAACCGTCCTAGGTTCGAATGTGCGGAAGTGCTCTTTAACCCGTCGCTTGTGACCAAGGAAATGGAAGGCATCCACCAGGAAGTTTACAACTCCATTGGCCGTTGTGATATCGATACCCGTTCCGCCCTCTACAGCAACATCGTCATGTCCGGCGGTACAACCCTCATCGACAACGTCAACAACAGACTCGAACGCGAAGTCGTCAAAATGGCCCCCGCCTCCCAAAAGGTCAAGGTCATTGCCCCGCCCGAACGTAAGTACTCTGTCTGGATTGGAGGCTCAATCGTCGCTTCGCTTTCCACATTCGACACCATGTGCATCTCCAAGAACGACTACGCCGAGGAAGGCGCCTCCATCGTGCACAGAAAGTGCTTCTAAGCAACCAGCGGCGTTTGCGGAATGTGCTTCCGGCTAACAATCCCCGCCCCCGGACCACTACCATTTTTTTTCTTCGAACTCTTGCTGTCATGAGTTGGTCCTCATTGCACTGGGCAAAGGTATACCAACCCTCAGAAGACTCGTTCCTTATGATGGACACTCTCGACAACCAGCGGCTGCCAGACTACCCAATCATTGTCGAGTGCGGCAGTGGCTCCGGTATCGTCTCTGGCCATATGGCCGCCACTTTCCAGACCGCCCAGGTCATCTCCACCGACCTTAACCCTTACGCCAACGAGGCCACCGCAGACACATTGCGGAACACACTCAACCGGCGCCCCCAAAGCACCGTCGCACGCATGAGCCTTTTAACCAACTTCAAAAACGAATCCGTTGACGCCATCGTGTTCAACCCGGTAAGCATCCAACCCTCTCCGTAGGCAGCCCCCCACCCTCTCCGCAGGCAGCCCCCCACCCTCTCCGTAGGCAGCCCCCCACCCTCTCCGTAGGCAGCCCCCCACCCTCTCCGTAGGCAGCCCCCACCACCGCCACCCTTGCACATCTCTTTGTTGTTGCAGCCATATGTCCCGTCGGAGCCCGGCGAAATTCGGGACGAGTTGGACTACGCCTGGGCAGGTGGCCGTGACGGCACTGAGTCCACTCATCCCCTCGTTGCTGACGCCAGGCGAGTGCTCCGGGTAGGTGGCTCTCTCTATCTCCTACTTGAGAAACGCAATAACCCGGAACATTTCGTCTCGCAGTACCGCCACGACTTTGGGCGTGTGGACAAAATAGGTGAGAAGAAAATCCCTGGCGAACTTCTCAGTGTTTGGCGCTTCGTCAAGACGTGACTTGTGGTACACCTCGTGACTTGTGGTACACCTGGTCCTGGCGCTTCTAGCCGGGTGCTTTTCTCGACTGACTGACTGGCCCCTCGGAAGGGCTGACCGAGGAAAGGCCGCATGGGGGTTCAGCGGACAGTGGTTGTGACATAATGACCGAGATCATCCTCCAAAATTCGACGCTGAATCCAGCATGTTAACCTCTAGCGATAGGCTCCACAAAACTCTTTTGTGGAAACTCACTTGCTGCAGGTTCATACGTCGTTCATGCCATGGCACCAGTAGTAGATCATGACTCGTTTGTGATCTTCCTTTGGAATTTCGTACTTGAACCTTCTACTTTTGAATATTAGCATGGAGTTCGGCTGCAGGTTTAGAGTGGTCGCCTTGGCCGTCTTGTTCAACGCAGACATGCGCATTTGACAGGGGCTTCGCAGGATGTAGATGAAGGTAAAAGTCCTGCCATTGTCTCGTTCCGGTTCGACGTCGTTGTCCGCATGATCCCTGAAGAACGAGCCAGCCTTGTACATGTCAACAAACAAATTATTATTGATCTAGAG